TGAAACCTCCTTTGAACTTGTAATTGTTGGACCGAGTTATCCCCCTATGTGAGACTAATATAGTAAAGTATAAATTGAAAATTGTATTTATAATCATTTAAATTCTTTTGAGATGGAGACTTTGAGTGTTAGTTAACATACTTATTAAAAACAAAATTTCTTGATCATCATAAAAATTATCTAAACATAGCCTACTTAGGAATTTGAAAGGAAAAACTAAAAGTCCGTAGATCTATTCCCTTGTGAATTTGTGATATTCCTTTTCTCCTTTCTTTCAATTTTGTCAACCGAATGAAAGTGATTGTTCTCTTCTTAGCATGTTTCATTTTCACTATAAACATTACTCATAATTTCTTCTTTTTTTTTTAAATTTTTTTTTTTTTTTGCAATTTTAATTTTAATCAAATATAAGTATAAGAACATTATTAACAAATAGAAGTAAATGGTAAAAAATAGGGATACTATCTAGTTCAATTGGTTGAATTGTTTTATGATAATATCCAAAACATGTGATGATTTTGTCTACATCATTGTTCATTATAACTTTTTGCAAATTAAAATTTCAAATTATTAAATTTTATTCATACAACCAAATCATTCTTAACAACTTTACTAATAAAAAAAATCTTAAAATTAATTTTTCATTTAGAGCTTATAATAAGATCGAATTACACCAATCTAATTGTGATAATTATGCATATTTCTAGTCTTAATTAATAGTCTAGGTAAAAAGTGGTCGAAGATTGCTCACTTATGAAGTGATTAATGGTAGGGTGACAAAATGTACGTCGGCAGTGTGTATATGGAGGACTAAATTAGTGGCCACGTCATCTAACAATTGAATAATGAATACCATGTATTGATAATTTAGTACAACTCATAAAAATAACGTTGTAGTCAAAGTCAAAGAGCATGAAATTATGATTAGTTTCAGTGACTCTTGTCTGTTTATACGTGAACACATAACATTACGGACTATTATCTCCTTCAATTTCTTGTTCAGTAGTTTGTCATGTAATCCAATTCTAAGCACGAGGAATCCTTCAGTGGATTTTTGGTAGGTTCTTGCTTCCCATTGTCCTCATATATATGATAATGGATTCTTAGCTATGAATTATGTCATCATGTGTTGTGCTCTACTAAGGGACCAGGGATCAGGGACCATTCTTTGTTGTCATAAGCACTATAAATGTATTTAAAAATATGTATGTTCGAAAATTGAGATGATCAAATGATCGAGCATACCTTATTATGCTTATTATATGAGTCGTATTTATAACACTGTATTAGTGTCTAGATAAGCAATAATAGATCAAATTGAGAGTTTATATCCTGTTGATAGAGTATGTATTGTTTTCAGAATTAATTTAATTTGTTTTATTTCTCTAGTAAAACATAGAAATCACACAATGTGCGACTCATTTAATACTTAAAATAATATGATAGACCACTCTCACATTTTCTCTGTTATTAAATTCCATTTTTAACAACTTTCATTAAACATATCCCAAGTCTCAACTTATCATTGAAAGTTCTTGCCTATAAAGGCTATAATGACATACATATTCTACAATATACCATTATCACTAATACGCATGGACCAGAGTCTAAAATGCATTGGAGAAAAACTCTTGGTTCATGTATCTCTTAGCTTACTTCATCTATTGGGTTTACGGTTATGTATGGCGTTAATTAGGTGTTACCCTTTTGGCTTTTGTAATGGTTTGTGATAATTTAACTATAGCTTATTATATATTTATTTATGAATAATTTCTTTTTATGATTGATGTGAAAGAAATCAAAGTTTCAAATAATTTGAATTTTTTTTTAAATCAATAAAAGAGTTTAAACAAGTACATACAAGGTTAAACTAAAGGAAACCACAATCTATGTAATGCACCCTTGCATGTTAGGTGATTAATTAATACTCGTACGAAGTATGAAATGTAATGATCAAATCCTGATCTAAAATAAACTATAGTCTGTAGATTAAGCTAATTAAAGTAAGACATGTCGTTTTTATTATTAAAATAGTTGATAAAAATAGTACTCCAGTTTAATTATTGAGAATGATTTAGTAAATAGCAATACTTTGAGGGTACCAATGTTATCAGTTTAGTTTCCTTAAAATCAGAACCCGTGATGGCGTGATGTGCTTTGAATTCCATATATAGCCAATACTCAGTATATAATGCCACCGACGATATGTTACGTATGTAGAAAACTACAAACAACAAAATTACAAATAGTGCGAAGTTTTTTCTTTACAATAGGGAAGTAAATTAATTCGAGTACTTACTTCTTTTTCTTGTAATAATTGTGCGAAGTTTTTTCTTTACAATAGTATGATCCAATACCAATTTGACCTTTATTTAATTCAATAGTTTAAAATTACTACAATCGAATTGAAACAAAAACTATATCTAATTTTCTTTTTTACTTCATATAATTTTATCAGTCCTGTTTATAGTTAAATACGAATCGAAGTATATACTTTAATAGATCAGCGCAATTCAATATACTTTTCTTGAGCTTTATTGAAATTGAATACAAATACAAGGGCATAATAACTAACAATTGAATCGCCTTCTCTTGAATGAGATTCCTATTAAATGTTGACTATGTTGTATACAAAAGTTGGTGAAATACCATAATCATTACGAACATCAAAACACAAATGACCGAGTAATTTTATATCCAACAATGTTTATCTAACTCATGTTAAATACAGTACTTAAATTGTGGGTGATGTCAAGTAAAAGCGACCAAAATTAAAAGCATTAACGTGCACAAAGAGAATATGAAATATAAACCTAAGATTTTCTTTTATAATATACATATAAATGTGGATTATGTATAGAATCTTAGGCCCTTTTTACTTCACCTTAAAAAAGAATAATATTTAGTAAAAAAAAATTTTGTTTAATACGAAGAATTTCAGTTAGTAAAAATAAATTAAGTTCAATAATATCAAAAAAGAATTATAATAAAGAATAGTAATATTAATGTTAGTTCAATCAACATAATTTTTATTCAATAAAAATAATTTCAGTTTAACAAAAATAAGATGAAGTGAACAGGACCTTAATGAAAATTTGCTATTCATAAAGTAACACATTTTCATGTTATTCTGATACTAAACAATATGTAATAATATAAGTATATATATCATATAGAATTTAATCCCACAACATAGTAGTAGTAGTAATAATAATAATAATAATAATAATAATAATAATAATAATAATAATAATAATAATAATAATAATAATAATAATAATAATAATTAGGAACCGATAACATCAATCAATTGTACACAGTAATATTTCAATCAATTAATAGTATGTAATAAGTATCATACACTGAGATTGTGTTACGTGTTATTTTTCCATCCTAATTAAGTTGGGAATCTTCACAAATTTTTGTAAAGATTTTTATATAGATCTAAATGCAACATGCACTAATCTTCATTATTTTTTGCTCAATGAACAATAAACATTCTTTAATTCAATCATCAAAACTAACAAAATTCTACCGCTAGCGCATCAATGTATATAACAACCTTTGCAATTTTTGGGTTCATGGTTTTTCGTGGGTATAGATGTTGCGTCCAATAAGTGGAGATTTCAATGCATTGTTTTCTCACAATGTTGATAATGTGATAATTGTTGATTGGGATACAGAATTACATTCAACTGTTGTATTAACTTCATCAGTGATTTGGATTTATATGTAGATGTTCTTTTAATGGGTAATGATATATGCAATATATAAGAATCAAATACATTTCTTAAAATAGTATTTCCTTTGTAATCTTTTTTTTTTTTTTTTTTTTTTTTTTTGACAAGAGCAAATGATGAAATCATAAAACAAAACTACTACAAATTAGCGAGGTTAATCCGGCAGTTTCTAGCTATGTCATTAGCCTTTCCTACCTGATCCCGCTGGACTTTTAAAATTGTGCATCTTTGAAACGAAGCCCCTACTTTCCTAATTTCCTTTAATAACCAAACTATCGAGATGTCCTTACCAGTTCTTTCCTGCAGGTTGTTTAGGAGACCAATCGAGTCAGATAGAATAAGAATTCCCTGTATCCCTTTCTCTCAAGCCCAAATCATTGCTTCCAGGCAAGCCCAGGCTTCACATTGTAGAACTGACGCTGTTGCACCATGTTTTCCTCCTTTATCGAGGTCAAAACCGTTGTGATTAGTTTTAACCGCCCATCCTATCCCTGCTCGCCTTGTATTTTTATCCCAGGATCCATCGACTTCCACAATGAAATTATCAAAGCCGTTGTATTTTTTTCCCAGATGCACATAGTTAAAGCCCGGAGGGATGATCGGATCATCTCTATCAGTGGCCCTCCACTCATTTGTTGACCCTATCTTGTGTATAAATGCTTCATGATCTTCCATGGCCAGATTTATAAATTTCTGTACTGAGCTTATCGACCCCGGTGTACCTTTGAAGCATCTTGCATTCCTAGTTTTCCATAGCCCCCATAACGTTGCCACAAACAAAGCACATCGGTTGCTGTTTATACCATCCTCGCTATTAAACAGCAGGATATACTGTTGGATCCATCTTTTCAAAGAGTTGAATCCAAAAGACTCAAGGCAAATAGTTAGGGAGCTGTTCTCCCAAGCTTCTTTTGCCAGAATACAAAATCTGAAGAGGTGTTGGCTATCTTCCAATTCAACCCCACAATGATCACAGACAGCTTCTGCTCGTATTCCCCTTCTTACCAGGTTAAGTTTAACTGCTATACCATCATGAAAGAGCTTCCACAGAAAAACCTTCCATTTTGGTTGAATGACCAGTCTCCACACTAGCTTTACAAACTCTTGATCCCTTGCTAAGAATTCTGATCTCTCTACCTCCCCTTCTTTTGATTGATAATAGTACCCAGTTTTAACTGTGTACCTTCCCGACGGATGATATTTCCAATAAAGGAAGTCATCCTCCTCCGAAGACCGAGGGAGCTCCATTGACGGTATCATTTTCGCACTTTCTCAGTCGAAACACTCCCTTATTTTACCAGCATTCCAGGTATAATCGTCCCTGTTAATGAAATCCTTCACTTTCTAGTTTGCTGCTACTCTAAGAGTTTGACTTGAATTAACAGTTGGTATGTTACCATCGACCCATGGCATACTAATGGCCTTAAAATTATTGCCATTTCCCACCTTCCAAGCAAAACCTTTCTTAAACGCTCGGATGGCCTTTTGAAGACTTACTCTTCCCATTGAAGAATTCCTTCTTCTAATAAGCTGACCAGTGATACTACCGATGCCACATGGCTGGAAATCCTTGTGAACTCTTGAAAGAAGGAGCTGTGGATTAAGGTGCATTCTTGTTGCTTGCTTGAAGAGGAGAGCATCATTGATTAATGAACTACCTCTAATTCCCAAACCTCCCATACTCTTAGGAAGTTGGATGACACTTCTACTCACCCAGTGTATCCCTTTCGCCCCCTTTCCCGCCCACCAAAAACGGGTGATCAAAGCATCAATCTTGCTTGCAATACTCTGAGAGAGTTTCAAACATTTCATAACACGTGCCGACATACTTACCAACACCGTGTAATCATTACATTATGACTATTATTCTCTCACAATATAAGAAAATTCAAATGTAAAAAATTAAAAAATGATTAACGAATACTTTGTATAAATTTGAGATTTAAGGCAAATACTATACACATGTAGTTGATTGGTGTAATTTTTAAAATTAAAATAGATTAGTGCCCGTGCGATGCACGGTAGTAATAATGTTTTTTCCATAATTAATTTGTGATATAATATAAAAATGAGGCAACTCATGTCGAATAAACAAATACAATGCAAATAAGAAAGATGAAATAGTAAGGAAAAAATTATTTAAGCTACAATTGTAAAAAAAAAATATTGTTGATTAGCTGTGTTGAAATATTTAAAAATAGTTTATATTATATTACATTAATGATGCATCTTTTTACCAATAAAACTATACAATGTAGATGTCGTATGACTTTTTATAAATGAATTAATTTAGTTATACACACACACACACACAATGTACTTTCAAAATATAAGCTAAGTAGAATAATTTTATTATAAAAAAAAAAACACTTAAGTTGACATCATATATCATATTGGCGGAATTTTTTTTAATGATAGCTTGATATATGTCCAAAATGATCGATGTAAGCATGACTTGTTTTAGTTATAGTTAATAGATTTATTGAAGGGAAAAAAAAAGAGTTATAAGTTGGTAAATTATTACAGAAATATTTAATAGAAAACTAACTCACTTATTATTGGTTTAGATTTCAAATCAACACCAAGAATAAAACCATTTTTTTTTTAATCCATTGAACCCCACTATTGTACAACTATATATATATAATGGTAATTTAAATATTAATGTTGTATTTTTGGCTTCGTTATTTTATACTCTCCACCATATTTCAACCTTCTAAATAATAGTTATTCTCCCTTAATTAAAAGGTCTCAAAATCTTGTGTAACTATTTTAAGTAAATAGAATACAAAATAAAAAGAAATACAATTATTATAAAGATGATATATAAGATTAGGAATAATATTATTATAGTTGTATTATACAAATATTTCAAAAATAAAAGATTTTTGCTAAAAAGGGAGGGGAGAGTTTTGGAGGGAAAGAACAACATCAAGAAGTGACACGTGTCATTCCTAGTGTCTGTTTTAATATTATGTTATTGATTATATTTGATTTTTTTAGCTCCTTATATGTAGCCCTAAAGGCTATGTATATCATTTTTTTATGTTAACAAAGTAACAGATGGGTTTGGCCTTGGTTGTGTTACATTTGTACATGCGTAAAATATTTGTACACTAGATTAGTGCCCATGTGATGTACGGTAGTGACAATTTTTTTTTTCATGAAAATTTTGTGATATAATATAAACATGAGACAATGAACTCATTCACGTGGAATAAACAATTGCAATGTGTATAAGAGAAATGAAATAATAAAAGAAAAATTATTAAAGCTAAAATTGAGAATTAAAAAAAATTATACGTAGTACATATTGTATTACATAATGAAGCATGTTTTCCCATTAAATTATACAACATATTTCTAAAAAATAAGCTAGGTAGAATTAAAATTAAAAAAAAAAAATCAAAATCAAAAACCATAAAGTTAACATCATATATTGTTTTAGCTTGAAATTTTTAATAATAAATTGACATGTGTCCTAAGTGATGTAAGCATAATCTGTTTTAGTAATTGTTAATAGATTTGAAAGAATAAAATATGATGTATATATTATGCTATTTAAAGATATGATATACAGAGTGATATTTATAAACGGAAATATTTTATTATATATATGGAAAGTATGTGAATCAAAATTATTACAATTATATGCCTTATATGATTTGCTAAATATTTTGTGTATAATATTATAATATGTGACATTGACTAAAAAAAAGAAAAATAGGAAAGAAAGAAAAAGACAATTTTAGAGAGAAAAAACAGCACCAGGAAATGACATGTGTCATTCATGGTATTTGTTTTAGTATTATATATTATATATATTGATGATTATTCTTATATAATGCCCTTAGGTTATATTTATCATTTTCCTTTGTAAATAAATATATTGATCGAGATCTATATACTTTGAATTATCTACAATCACTTTCAATAAAACTATACACTTATGACCTACATTGGCCAATATTACTATGTTAAAATTTAATCTTTTCTGTTAGGGTTTGTGAGTGCATACAACGGAAGAAAAAAAAAAACTAAAGATGTAGAGATTGAGAAATATAATTAGGAGAAATAAAGACAAGAAATTAAAGATAGTAGAAAATGAACAAACAATATTCAACGTGGGAAAGAATTCACAAAATCCACGTATAACAAGCACCAAAATGATCCACCATATGAAAATTGGATTGTACAAGAACCCGGAACTCACAAAAGAGTAGTACAAAAATAGGAAAAGTGGAGTTTTAAATTGGTAGAGAATTATAAGGAGGTAAAGGCTTATGTGTATGGTATGACTTCTTGTATGTGTATGTATGTTGATTGAATGCTCGTGACATATATTTATAGCTGAAGATGGAGCTTGGAAGAAATGGCCGGAAGATTCCAAAGCTTCCGTCATTACTCTTATATCCATAATATTCTAGAACGTTCACAAATCATGTTTTCAAATTGATTCCAATATCAAAAATTCTTTAGAACGATAAAGTTGATAATTCTAGTAAAAACGTGAGCAAGAACTAATTTTACTTGAATTTTCCGAAAGCTTCTAAAACAGACATTAAAACTCCATCAAAATAATGGCCTAAAAATTTGGGCCATACCCAACATTTTCACAAAAATAAAATAAAAATAATAATAATAATAAAATTAAAACTTAATCTTTAGTCGTACAAGTATAAATTTAGCTAGTATTTCAAACTTTTGTACTCCGTATTAACATCTTGAGAATATTTATCACCGCCACTAATTTTAAGCAGCAAAATACTTTCACAAATATTCAAAAACATCCGATGTACATAAAGTTCTTGTAAATCAATCATCAATGAACCAAACAAAGCCAAAATATTGGAGAAGGCTAAGGAGGCACTGTTTACTCGAGGAAGATGTGCACAGCAGCACAAAGATGAGGAAACACTAGCCTTTCTCAATTCTAATTACTTTTTTCAATTTGAATTCGAACTATAATTTCAATTTTAATTTCTTTTTTCAATTAAATTGAACTATAATTCTAGCCTTTCTCAATTCTTCTTCTCTGTAATAGCATGAGGGAGACTTGTCGTTTAGGGAGGCTTGGTTTCATCTATTGGATGATTACCCCATCAAATACGAAGCCGATCGCCTTCCTCCGCCTCTCGTCGCCGATCTAAATGGCGATGGCAACATTGAGGTCCTCGTTGATCTCAATCGCGTTCCCTCCCTTCTTTTCTCTTATTTTCCTTTTACTAACAATGAACCAAAGAAAGTCAAAATAATAGAGAAGGCTAGGGAAAAAAAAGAGTCACTTTTGTAAAAAAAAAAAAAAAAAAAAAAAAAAAAAAAAAAAAAAAAAAGGTCATTTTTGTGAGAAAAATGATTACTTTTGTGAGAAAAAAGGGTCACTTTTATGAAGAAAAAGGGCTATTTTTACGAAAAAAAAAAAACACTTTTGTGAAAAAAAGGTCACTTTTGTAAATAAAAAGGGTCACTTTTATAAAAAACAGGGTCACTTTTGTATAAAAAAAGGGTTATTTTTCGCAAAATGTTCGATGTATAATAAAATTATTGTAAATCGGGGCATGCAAAAGTTTTTGAAATACTTTTGTTAATTAGTGAGTAAAGATAATAATTTCCACTAGAAAGTAGGCTACCAATAAGGTAAGTGGAGCATTTGAGCCAGTCGAACGAAACACCGACTTTGAAGTAACGCGGCGTAATGGGACCCGTATATTAAAACCACCACAATTCTTGCATAAACTGAAGTTTTTGACTCTTTTTGTCACATGATGTCCTCGATTTCCTTATTGTCCTCTTAATCATTTGCCAATTTATTACGCAACTATATACACCTTTTTCTTAATTCTTTGGAATTTCTTAAGAATTCTACAACTATAATCGTACCTTATGAACTACATTAAAAAAATATCTATAAACTACATTAAAAAATTACAACGATGAAAATAAGAGTAGTGATAGATAATAGGTTAATATCATCATGTTAATATTCTGTAAAGATATATTTTGTGTATTTTAGGACTCTCATAATTAGGTTTGTGAATTCCAATTAGGTTATTCTTTTATCTCTTTTTTTTTTTTTTTTTTTTTTTTGTTTTCACAAACCCTACCCCAACCTTGGCCTAGCCGTGACCACCAGTGCCGCACATCACCAACGACTTCCGGCCACTCCTTCAATTTTCCATGTCAGGCGACAACACTCCTCCTCCCCAATCAAAAGGAGAATTACACTATTTTACAAGTAGTAAATGATCATTGTTAGTATA